AACAGCGCTAGATGGGCGGACATGATCGACGCTCTAGAAAAAAGCTTTAAAATCCCCAACTACCTCAGAGCTGTGGTGCGGAGCTACCTCAGCAAAAGATATCTGCTGTACCAAACTAGAGAGGGATCACGACAGATAGCGGTTACGTCAGGAGCTGCGAGAAATTTTTTAAAATAATATACAAATTATTAAATTTAACTATTTTTTACACTTTAAATTTTTAAGTGCTGGATGCGTTATAATGAATGGAATGTGGGCCGGATGTGCCAACTATTAAAATTCAAAAGAAATGGCATAAGAACTCTAGTAGGAGGTCACTGTCTAATTGGCAGGCATGCCAGCAGATTAGAAACGCCATATAAAGACTATTGTAGAAGTCCTAGGTGCCTAGGCCTAGGTGCGTCGTCAGACAATACTCGACCTATCTACCTATAAGGAATGTTACGGAAATATTTACAATTAGGTAAGAATTTCTAATGTTCTAAAATACCGGTGCACATACACTCAGTTATTCACTACATGCGCCGCAATTCAGAATTTTTGACGACTCGGTTTTCCAGTACTTTAATAAGAATTAGAACCGTGAATAAATAAAAATTTAAAAAATCTCCATTTTATTTAGCACTCCTGATTTCGCAGAATAGAATTATGAAATCAAACATAATATGTGAACATTCGTTGATATCGAATTTTAATATACATAATATGTTATGTAAATACTCTACATATGTACACCAGAATCATTAGTCTGCCTACAGTACATATAACGAGTATCAATTTTTAATTTTAATATTACAAAATCGAAGAGAACGTTTAGCCAGTCTGGATTGCTAATATCAGATAGAAGAAAGTACTAAGACTAAAACGTCCACAAATTACAATTTTTAAATAAAACAAGTAGCTTATTGAGAATTAAGTACTCTACTAAAAATATTTTAGGTATAAATTTCTTGACCTCAAATTTCATTAAGAAATGTATAAAAAATTTACCTTTTTATAACTCGTGAGGTCACAAAGCAGTTTAGTAATTTCGTTAAGAATGCACAAAGAGAGAATTACTTTGGCTGAAATAATTACATACCGCTGAATGTGCGAATACGATCATAAGAGAGTGACATTGTTCTGTACAGAGTTTGGTTTGCGCCAAATATGAGCAGTATTTTTATATCAGTCGCGATAGCTGCTAACGTTTGATAGAAATTTTGCAAAAATAATGTGTATTTATTTTTCGAATGAAAAGGGTATCATGGCATGACAAAACATTTTAGTTAGTGCATACTGTACATGTGTTCTTTACGTACGTCCTTAGGACTCGCGTGTTATTTTTGAGTTTTATAGACGGTAAAATTAGACGTATTTGTGAATTTTCTGAGGTCTAAAGAAAAGTTCTAGATAAATTTAAATGATTAAATATGTAGTAGAAGGCCAACTGAAAATAATCAAAGTATTCATATTCATGAATTCGTAAATAAAGAATTTACAAGTTCTGAGTGAGCTGCCGTACACACCACAACATTAAATGGCACTAGATGTTGCTACGAAGTGGACTTGGTGATATATATGAGCTGTTATGTATTATGGTAGGCTATTCACTAACTTCGAAAGCATACTGCTCATATGATCCTGATCAACGCATGGTTGTAGGAAACGCGATGTAACGTTAAAAGAAATGAAACCGGTGATTTTCGGACATGATGTCTATTGAAAATCTGAAGCTATCAACAAAGAACCATCGGAGGTACTGAGTGAAGATGGAGAAAATGCCAGTGACGACGCGTTTAAAGAAGTGTTTGAAGAATCGCAAGATGGAGATTTGAGTATGGACTATCAGGAAAGTTTCTGAATTTACGATTAGGAAAGAGTCTTGCGCAAACAAGACAGGGAACCTAAGCCAGTACGTTGTGGAAAATGTATAAGACATTAAACATGATACAAAATATTTATGAAATCAAAATCCCTCAAAGTGTTGAAGAATCTAAAAGTAGCAAATGTGCAAACGACGGGATAAGAGCAATGAAAGTAGAGTACGATGCTCTAGAATCTGAAAGTAGATGGAACCAGAATTGGATGAGTTTTAAAAAGAATTGATTCAAGGCATGCAGTAATGCACAGTGTCTGTACAGAATGAGCAATCGAGGTAATTTATGTCTCATTTTTGTATATGCTGATGATCTGATTATTAAGTTGCCAAGACAGAGAAGATCTTCTTGCAGTCAAAGCAGAAATCACAAACAACTTCGAATGTGTCGAAAAATATCCAATCTCATATTTTCTGGGGTTCGAAATTACAAGAGCGTGAAAAAGGCAGCATTGAAATTGGAAAAAAGTTATATATTAGAGAGATCTTTGAAAAGTAAAGTGATCATTTGTCGATTATACCATTTCGAACGCAAGCCATCCATAGGTGCATTATGTATGTAGCTATTTGCCAAAGGCCTAACTTGTACATTCAGTCGCGAAGTTGGCTCATAGATACAACATCCTCACAAAGAACTCGAACATACTGCTTATAGCATTGACGTACCTATCTACGAAAGAGCACTAAAATTGGTAATTCGTCGTAGGGCAAATATATAGAAGGATTTGAGGATGCCGATTGGGGCAGCAACAGTCTCCTCGCAAGGCATACGCAAGTATATATTATTCTTAGGCGGTAGTGCATTCTCATGGAAAAGTAAGCATGAAGGCAGCGTGGACGTACGCAGTACGGAAGCCGAATACATTGCGTTAGCATCAGCAGCGAAGGAAGCAATATATCTACTGAGATTAATGATAGATATTGATAGTTGGTTCCAGAGATCCAATAAGAGTTTACGGTGACCACTTAAGCGCACAGCAACTAGCGAAGAACCTAGTATACCATTCCAGCATCAAATATATAGATATTAAGTATCATTTTGTAAGAGAAGTAATAAATGAGAGAACAATTCAATTGAAGTATATTCGAGTATGCACTAATAAAATGACGGCTGATGTTCTACTTTATTATCTAAGTAAATTGAAAAATTAAAAGTTTGTAACACGTTTAGGTTTTATGCAAACATGATGTAAACGACGTTGAGGAAGAGTGTTAAAAGTAATTGATAATCGATTAGTTCGTCAAACCACAACTAATGTCGTGCCTCTTTTCTTTCTTCGTTCTTTTATAATGTTCTAATTGTTCAAACAGTCACCGACGCAAAACCGTTGACCGAATCAGCTGAGACGACCTATCTTATGGGGGCGCAATGTAAACGAAACCTCACCACCGCTCCTACCGTCCGCTTTTACAGACCATACGGTTGAATATTTGAAGAATTTGGATTTTTCCCGTAAAAGCGAGTGAGCTGAGAGTAAGAGAGAAATCTCTTGGAACGCAGGGTGACCAGTCTCAATATTTTGTAGTAACTAAATAATTAAGTTAAATATATTTGAAATATTCTTAAAATAACTCAAAATCACAGTCGAATACATTAATTTATAAATAGGTAAACTATTTTATATAGTTTTGAGCCTAACATTATGAAAAATTATAACTAAAAAACTAAATGTGTGAAAAATCTTGTACACAAATAGAACAATGGCAACATTAGTGAAATTAAAACAAAAGAGAACAACTGATTTCTGCGTTGCAACTACGAGCATAATCTTGACAAATTTAGTTTGATACGGACGGTAAGTACGGAAGGAAGGAATGCCGGTGGCTGTTTGAAGCATAAAACTGTTATGTATTTCCAAGCGTAAAGGGTGAGTAGAGAAACTATCATATGTAGGCAAAGCGACAGCTGAGAGGTGTCCATGGAGAAATGTCAAGTCCGTCTAGGGGTTGGGTTTCTGTTGACATCCAAGATGGTCGACTTTTGATCGGAAAATTGTTGAATATTGCAAAATTCTTTTAATTAATGTTTTTTCAAAATAAAATCAGAGTATTTGAATATATATTGTTAAGGCTGTTAATATTATTGGCACATTCCAGAACAATTAATTTATATATTTATGTCTCTTTTTAACTGTGGTAAATTAATAAATATTCACCACAGAAAAATGTAAGGTTCAATTAAGCATGTCAAATGACGGGATCCAGAAAATGATTGTTCAACGAAACTGGAGACAAGTTTAATAAATTTATACAAAAATAATAATAACATTAAAAACAATTCTCAAAAACAATTCAATTCAGGTATGTTGCCAGTATTGCTATTGAGCATGGCGTAACAGTGTTGCTTAAGTTAATTTTAAAGTACTTTTAAGGAAGAAACTATATCTACCGTTTTTTATTCTACAAAGATATTGAAAATTCTACAAATAGTTGATTTAAAAAGGCTATATACTTGTATTACAAAATTAAATATAAAACGTAAAATATTTTGCGATTAAGTGATAATTTTTACTTACATTATAGGAGAAATTGGATCTACTATTATCTCTTGATATATCTTACAATGATAAATTTTGTTTTATTTTTCAAAAGAATTATTATGACTTGTAATACAAATTCTGTTACAATAGTTAATTATTTCGGCCCACTCATAGTAAAATTGAATTTCAAGTTTGTCCATGACTAATTTAATTAAAACGCTTTAAAACATACCGCATATTTTCAAATTTCAAGGTGGTATAATTTCAAATTTTGTTAACAACCTTTAACATCAATTTAAAACAAAAATTAAAAATAATTATAACACCATTTTTTGTTTTGCGCAACCCGATCTAACCCCTCGCCGCCTTAACGCACCAGAGACGGCCATGTTGGTTTCATTGTGAGTGTACACCTGGAAGGTTGGAAAATACTGTTAATGAGCACTTTCGCTACTCCCTTATACCATGGTATCTCTGCTTGATAAGTACAGAATCAAAACCGCGGTTATCGTTCCAACCAACAGTTTTTTATGTTACTGTTTTTGTTTTATTTTTGCGTTTGTTTTTTCAAAAAATTATCTGATATATCTCGACTTTATTTGAAAATACATTCGAGATCTAAAAAAAACAAACGTTTAATTTTCTCACTAAAATCTAGACAATTAGCTTCTTCCAATTGTTTTTGGATATAATTGTTTATATTTAAATAACTTGACCATGTATATTTTCAAATATTTTTTCACATTGGCTCATCATCTCCATTATTCTTTCAGTTTGTTTAGCCTTCGCTTACGTGATTAACCCATGTATACTTCTGATCATTCTCAAATTCATCCACTTCAGGTTTTAATTTTTTGCAAATGCATCCCACCAAATGCTCTAGACCGTCGGATTCGAGATACAATAATTCGTTGTTAGTACTATGCTCCGCACGGACTACCACTTGGAATCTTCGCAATAGTATACCTAGATGAAATGAAGTCATACATACTTGCTAATAACTACTTAACTGAAGCGTTTACATACCAGAAAGAGGTCATCGTGTTCCTTCTAAATCGGGTGTATCATCAGCTTCAACATTGCTAAAATCGGTTAGAGGTGTTTCGTTATGCCCCAAAATATATGAACGTAAACGATATTTAAGCTCCGGTTGGTCATGATTGTCCGCATTTTCTTCTAATTTTTTCACGAATGGCTTGATTTAGGCGATAAGTTATTACATATGTCTGTGACATACTGATACATATACCATATCATGAATATCTTTCTAGCCATATTTAGGCAATTCACAAGCTTTGTCTTATGTCTTTAGAATACAAAAATTTCATTAGAAACTGAAAAACATAAAATTAAAGCTTCTTTATGTGAAAGCGTTCTTTATGTTGAAACAGAAACAACAAAATATTTTTATATTTCACTTTTCTTCAACTTAATTCACCTGAATATCGCGGCTTCCTTTCATATTATTATAGAAATTGATGAAATTTATTTAATTTATTAATTTTAGACACTTAAACGTCACAATAAAAAAAATAAACAGATACAGCTGATAAAATAGCACACTCAAAATACATGCCTCACCGTGTTGTATTTGCCGCATTTAAATTTTGTATGGGAAACAACAACAGTGTTATGACAGTCTTAAAAAACTAAGACAATATGACGATATGACACAATATGACACCTTGTGAATACCCTAATTGTTACACTATATTATTACAGTCCGCCTTAAGTTTGGTAAATCTGTACGAAATTTTTATATAAAATTTTTTTTTTCATAACAAATATATATTCAAATCACTTACATGAATTTTGTCCATATTTTTGTGTACGATTACCCACTGTCGTCGTTTCAGATTTTTAAACGCGATGTTTGCACAATTTATACTTCTAACACTTTTGAAAAATACTTGATATTATTTAAAAAATGTGTATAAAGCGTTTTTTTCAAACAATGCGCGCCTGCTGTGAATTTACCACTTTTTTTAACGGATTTGACTTATTTAAATATATCATTCGTTGAAATGTCAGTAGGCAATTAGAGTTGCTATGTGTATACAGTTTTATTTCAAATTAAAAATTTGTTTAGTATAAGCAAAGTGGGTTTTACTTCAGGATATTTCAAGGATAAAATATCACAAACATATTTAAGTGGCTAGAGCAACCAACCAATTTGAACCAACTTGTCGTAACCTTGTATTCCATGAACCATATGAAAATATTGTAAGAAACATGTTTGTTCAAAAAGTATCGCGAATTTTGGATTTCTTAGGACAGTAATTACTTATTCATGAATATTTATTTTGTCCCCTTTAAAGTAAACACCCCTAGATACAATGCGCCGCGAAAATTCAAAATTCGCGATACCTCGTATTTGCTCAAAAACAACACATTAATAGTGCCGCAGCCGCCATATTCCCCAGATCTGGCCCTTGTGACTTTTTTTTGTTCCCAAAATTGTAGAGGACCATGAAGGGACGACGCTTTGCTACGATTGAGGAGATAAAAACTGCATCGAAGGAGATACTGAACAAGATCACAAAAAGTTACTTTCTTAAATGCTTCGATGATTTAAAAAAACACACTGGGATTATTGCATTATATCTAACGTGATTACCTTGAAGTGGACAAAATAGATATTCTTGATTAAATAAACACTTTCTTAAGACAAAATTAGCAAAAATGTTTGAACAAACCTCGTAGACCACTAATTCAAATAAAAAATAAGTGTTGCTAATAAATAAGATAGAAACTTTGAAATCTCAATTATTACCTTCTCCACGTAGAGATAAAAGATCGTCAAATGTAAACATTTCANTACAACATTAAACATAAATTTTTGTAGAGATTCTTATACATATATCCAAATTATATTTCTTTTTTCCTTATACTATTTAATTTCTATCATATATTTATACAATAATGTCATATATAATAACAAATTATATATATAATTTAAATTTTCTTAATTAGATTATTTACATATTTTTCTTAAAATTGTCTTAAAAACTACTGTCAAAATTCTAAATCCTATACCATTCCAATTCGATTATATTTGGAAAAAAAAAATGAAGAACTACTGCACTAAGTCTGAAAACTTTAGTTCGAAATAGAGACACAAATACTGTCATGATAGCTGTGTATTGTCTCAAAAGTAATTGCATTTACACGGGAAGGATTCATGTTTGAAAATGCCCAATTAATTGGTGTACCGGCAGGTGTAGTTGAATATTCTGCACCAAGCAGGGAACTAAAGTTTTTTCTTGGAGCAGATTTCTTATTGCAGTCCCTGTAGACATTAAAATGTTAAAATCTCCAACAATTAGCACATTTTGATTGCCTAACTCAGAAGTAATGACTTCCTGAAGTTCTACAATTAATTGTCTGACAGAGAAAGCTGAATTTCTATATAGAACCAGAATATCAGTATTGAAACATTTAAACAAAACCGCTTCTAAAACTTTGCGGCCTGAATAAATTTTCTTTACAGCCTTTGATTGTATAGAGCAAGCAATACTATGCTTTGCATATATTATAATGCCCCGTTTATTTCTGTTGGTTGTTTCCGTGCTATCTATCCTCAGCTCGTTAATTGGAGTAAATCCTGGTATATCAAAACTTTCGCAAGGATAATTCCAAGTTTCTACAAATCATAAAATATCTGAAGATAGCATCAAACAGTCGCTTTTTATATCATTAATGTGAGCGTGAAGACTCTGAACATTATGGAATAAAATTTGATGTCCTGATGTTCCGGAAATCATAAAATTCAAACTTGTTGTCAAAGCTTTATTTGTGTTCAATTCCCTCAGTTCCCTAAATACGGGATCCGATTCAGAAAATTTGTTAGGAGGAACAAAATTTCCTATGATGAATAGACCTTCTGCAGAAGTAGCTCGACTACAAGCGCAATATATGTCGCTCTAGTCATTCTGGGTCGAGTGTGAACTACAACTTTATTATATGTGGCACCCTGACTTTTATGAATGGTTATTCCCTCAGCCGGAACAACTGGAAACTGACTTCTTTCAATTGAAATTTGTTCATTTCTTTTATATTAAAAAGATTTTAGAACTTTTTCAATTGGTGTCCAAGAACTTTCTAGAGGATGAGGCTTTTTTGATCGTGCTATCAAACCTACAGAAGGTTCCAAAAATTTAATCCACAGAATTGTTGGAAAAGAACAATGGAAATCAATTTGCATAAGTTGTCCAGCTGCCCCATTAACCAAGCCATCACACGTGTTTATGTTCACTGTAATCATATATTTGGCCGAGGTTTTTAGTTTAACTCTTTCCAAGTTTAACTCTTTCCAAAATATTATCATTTTCATTTATACCAATTCCTTTAAATGAGTCTTTTGCAGTTGAAAGGAAAGCTTCTGTTGGGATTCGACTGAGCTTAAGGGCATTTAAATTATTTGTCTCTTCATTGGACCAAAATAAATGTATGGCATCATCGGGAACTTCTTCGAAATTAACTACTCGAGTTTCAATGAGGGATATGTCCTCATTTGTCATAGTACCAGATGCCATATGGTTTAATGCAATTGCAAAGGCCTGATCCTCCCGTTGTCTCATTATTTCTGTTAATTTAAAGTATTTAAATAACTCCCACAAAGGGGAACCAACTAAAGTGCTGTATGCATCATTGGGATTAGGAGAGAATATCCACCTATCTCCAACAGGTGACAGTTGCTTCAAATCACCAAACACTATGATCGGTATGACACTGTTTTGAAAATTTGTTTTAATCTCGCATCAACAGAGCTAAACATACGAGAACCTACCATCGATATTTCATCAATTATGATTAATTTTAAATCAATAAGTCTGGAATACAATGAATTAACTGTGTCATTGCTAAGTGGCCTCAACTCTTTATTCAACTGATTAACAGGTAAAGAGAATATTGAATGAAGGGTCATTCCACCTATTCCGAATGCTGCTTTACCCGTAGGTGCGCAAAGAAGAACTTTTAGGAACTTGGATTCTATCCAGGTGTAGAATTGACGATGGTTAAGAGCTTGATATATTGCAGATATCAAACGACTCTTTCCCACACCTGCACCGCCGCCAATGAACTCATAAAATGGGAGATTTGTTTTTAGGTGGTGCATCAAATGTGTCAAATAGGTTCTTTGCTTAGTATTTAGAGTTTGAACTAAAGAAAATAGTTCCTCAAATGGAATTAAAGGGGGTAGTTTAATAAGTCTAATATTGCAATCAGATTCAGTGCCATTATCAGTTGAATCTTCGCCATGCAAGTCCAGCAAATTTATATTTGGGTTTATTTCTGAAAGTGCCAACACTCTGAACTTATTTTCCATTTCTATAGGTAGCTCATTTTGAGCACCTTCGTCCAAGTCTATTTCATTATAAAGACTTTCTAGAACATTTTCATGTTCTCTTTGCTCAAAAACATCACATTTTCTTTGATTTTCTCGATTTTCATTCGAACACGTTGCTCAGGTCGAGAGGTATTTATAAATATTTCTGCATAACTTGCTTCCGAAAGATGGAGCCCAATGCAGCAATATACTGCTTCTTGTGCAGATATTTCTGTGCCTGATGTAAATTTGTGACCTATATGTTTAAGTTTTTGCTTAATAGTATAATTTCCAGCATTTACCTCTGATATACCTTCATTTAAGAGCCCAGAAATTCCCCTGTTAGACTTGTTAATATAATTAATTATATATGAACAGCAAGCATATGCATCCAGTATATATTGGATATCCATATTTGCTCTATGGAGTTCTAAAATCTTCTGTAATTTTCATTCTAGAAAAATTGTGGGTTTTTTTAAACTTGACCTAAGGGCTAACAAATAGTCATCAAAAGACATATTTATTCTACTATCAGACAGGAAGTGTTCAAAATCGTTTAAATTAGAAATGTCTTCTGTAGTCATATTTGAATTTAAAACGTTTTGAATTTTGAAAAAGTTTTCCTTGTGTCTTTCTGAATTTTGACTTGTTTCTGTAAGAGGTAACAGTATTTGCGTTGAAGGCATTGGTAGATATGGTATACCAAAACGACAAAACTGTTGTCCTCTTATTTCCCTAGTACAAGACCGACTGTGGTTATGCTTTTGATAAAGAACCCAACTAATTTTCTGAGTGTCTGATCGAACCATCGGTAGAAATATAATTGTCAATAAAACTTATGACATCATGGAATGTCTGAGGATCTTGAAGGTTGATCATATGAGCATTATTAAGCCAATACGTGCCATGTATATGCGGGGAACCTCTCTGTTGAAACTCCACTCTCCAGTAGAAATTAGTAACAAAATGCTCTCCAAAAATGCCGGCGTTATCTTTAAAAAGCTTAAGAATTTGTCGATAGCGGTAGTCAAAATATCTAGCATAAGTAACCACGTCTGACCGAATTAAGCGATATCTATCTTGGGTTGTTAAACTGTTGGCTTCCTCT